TCCTGGCGCTCCTGACCGGTGTCTCCCCGTGCGCCGCGGCCGCAGGCGCAACAAGGTGCTCAACCACTTCAGCATCATGCAGCAGCGGCGCCTGCGCGACCAGGACGAGGAGGACGAGGACAAGGAGAAGAAGCCCAAGAGGAAGGGCGGGGAGCTCAAGATCCACGACCTGGAGGACGACCTGGAGCTCAGCTCCGATGACAGCGAGGCCAGCGAGGCCGAAGGTGAGGCCGGACGGGGAGGAGGGGGCGGCGGGGGGGCCGGGGCTGATTTGTGCCGCGGCGCCCAGGCGAGAAGGCGCCCAAGGCCAAGAAGAAGGCGCCGCCGGGCAAGAAGAAGAAGAAGAAGAAGGGCTCGGACGACGAGGCCTTCGAGGACAGCGACGACGGCGACTTTGAGGGCCAGGAGGTCGACTACATGTCCGACGCCTCCAGGTGGGTGCCCTGGGCGGGGGGCGCGCGGGCGGGCGGTTGTGACACCCCCGTAACACCCCGTGCGTCCCCCCCATAGCAGCTCCCTGGAGGAGGACGTGGGCAAGGCCAAGGTGACCAAGGAGGAGGAGGGACCCAAAGGTCGGTGGCTCTGGGGGGCGGGGGGGGTTGTTGGGGCGTCCCCCCCCCCCGGGTGTCCCCTGATGCCCCCCCTGCCCCCAGGCATCGACGAGGCGAGTGAGAGCAGCGAGGAGAGCGAGGAGGAGAAACCCACCGAGGAGAAGGAGGAGGAGGAGGAGGAGAAGAAGGCCCCGACGCCGCAGGAGAAGAAGAAGAAGAAAGGTGACGATTTTTGGGTTGGGGGGCCAATTTTATACCCAAATTGGGGGGAGGGAGAAGACGGTTTTGGGTGTAAAAGCGGCAGAAACGGGACTGAGCCTTGGCGCCCGCAGACAGCAGCGACGAGTCGCAGACGTCGGAGGAGAGCGACATCGACAGCGAGACGTCGTCCGCGCTCTTCATGGCGGTGAGGGGCGCCGGGCCGGGGGGGCGTTACCTGGGGGCCGTCGTCACCCCCGGTGCCGTGTGTCCCCCCCAGAAGAAGAAGACGCCCCCCAAGAGGGAGCGCCGGGGCTCGGCCAGCAGCTCGCGGGGCGGCAGCCGCCCCGGGACGCCCACGGTGGAGCCCGGCAGCACCTCGTGCACCCTCCGCGCCGCCGCCACCAAGCTGGAGCAAGGTGGGGGGCCTGGGGGGCTCCCAGCACCCTTGGGTGCCGCCACGGGTGGGGWTGGGGGCTGCCTCGGGGCTCCTGGCAGCCTCAA